CCCTGTCCAACATTACTTTAAAATGAATGGCCAATGTTAATTGTCAATGAGAATCAAGCTAACTAAGTCTCGGACTAGAAGAATAAGAAACCAACCTATAGAATTCTGTATTTCAATAGATTTTTCTGGAGTTAACATCATTATAGAGCTATCATGTGGTGATTCAATTCTCACTCCTTCTTCTGTTATCTCTGCAAACTTTAACAACGACACCATCTGAAACCCTCCACTGTCCTTAAAAAGAGAAATGGGTGTTTTTAAATATATGATTAAAAGGTAAATCTGGATTTTGGTTTAATGATTTATCTGAAGGGCACTAGCACATCTAAGGGCTGGGTATCGATTACTAAATTGAGATTGATTATCAATGGCATGCTACCAATCAATAATCAATCAATCAAAATATTTTTCAAATACAAAATAAAATCATGTCCATATTTATTTTTGATATCATGGGTTATTTTTATACTATACATGAGTCATCATTTTAACAATCAAATGTAGATAATTCTGGACACACATGGATTTGAAGACTCAAATTTCGACTGTGAACACTATTACTGATTGACTTAGCTAAAAAAAATCCTGTTTCTGAGACTTAAGAATGATTGGTCAAAAAGAATGAAGCACCTGTCCCTGTAACAGTACAAAGGCTATCTATATGTTATAAATCAGAAGATTATGGAAACAACAATACTCACTGTCAATAAAGATCTTTTCCATTTCATGAATTTATGGAGGCCTCCAGCTTTCTCAAGTAATTCAGGTCCCTGTGTAGAAAATATTCAGTTATTACCATAGTTTCAAAATATCAATTCATTGGCCTATATTTTTAAGCCCTTTACTTAAAAATAATAATAATAAACTCTTTATTTACATGGGTCAGAATTAAGAGAGAGCATCCCTTTAAAATAGGAATCCCAATGACGTCATAACAAATCTTACTGGTCGATGGCCTAAATGATAGGTATTCCCCAACATGATCCTACAATCTAATTCCTCCATTTGTTCCGGCAGAAGACCTTTCAGTGTTCCTTGTGTTCCGACTGGCATAAAAACTGGAGTTTCTACTTCGGAGTGTGGTAAAGAAAATATACATGATTTCGCCTTTGTCGTTGAACATTGGGCTAAAGTTTGAAGAGAGAACACATGTTTTGTTTTGGAAGCAGCCATATTGGAGAATCCCTGATATTAGCCAATCAGAAATCAACAGATAAACCGGAAATAATGGGGAATTTATTTCTACGCATGCGTAGTTGTCATTTCTAAAAATGGCAGGTGCCGAAAAATCTCAGAATTTGGTTCCAAATCCCTCGGGAGACGAAAAGGATTTTATAGAATGGACGGCGATTTCACTGACGCATGTGGAATATCCCAAAGGTTCTGTTCAAGTTTTACATTTGTTTACTTTGCCACGTGTGATCATGTTTTCCCGACACGTGCATTGCATGCATTATTGCATGCATTCATTTTCAAACTGCCAGTTAAGTTCTTCTTCTCAACGACAAAGATTAGACTCAAGACTCAATAACAATTCCTTCCTTTCTATCTCCCCTCTGCCTTAACAATGAGATCCAATGCAATTTGTGACTCCATCAATAGTTTGGACTGTTGTAATATAATATATAGGATAGGCCTACCCTACTGCTGTAGCCAGTGGTCAACAGCTTAGTTTAATCAGCTGCACATTCAGGTTGCTTGAATATCCAAATTCTTTACTCTGCTGTGCAGGTACTGCATAGAGATACAACTACAAGAGCCTGCCCTGCATCATACAAATTTAATGGAGTATCACATCCTACTATTCTGTTTGGTGTGTGTTGTTGAGCAACACGCCAGCATTCAGAGGAATTGTGTCAATATTGAATGACAAAAAAATGGTAAAAACCATCCAAATTTGATGCAGAAGGATGTACAGCTTTTTTTTCTGTGAGCCTCTCAAACATGTAAACAAACACTATCTAATGATAGTTTTTCTGATTATGATTATGTATATGAGATATAGTGGGTACAGTTAACATATTCGTCCAAATATCCTGGTATCGTCTAATATCGATACACTAATATATCATGCAAGTAGTACACATTATACGAATGTTAACCATCTTCCTTATATTTGTATATTACAGGAGATATTGTGGGTAAAGTTCTAGCAATGTTAAGTTTAGTACCAGTTAGTTTGTTAGTTAGTTTTTTCACTTTAATCATCTTTAGAAGAGAACTTCATACAGTAAGTCAATAACTTCTTCTTATAGAAATTTAGCATTGAATCAAGGGATAAGCTGAAAAAAATAACTTGAAATTTTTCCACAAAATGAGTTTAAAACCACACCACTTATGAATAAATAGTTTGGACTTGATCCAAATAGTGTTGTATGAGACGCTGAATTTATACCGATCATATCAGACTCTCTCAATAGGACACCAAGCTTAGTGGGGCAGGTTTGCCATTTTGGGGGTTGATTTTAATCTTGAATGTATGTAAATATAACTGATTGGTTTAGCTAAAAAAAAATCCTGTTTCTGATTATAAAGTATCAATAAAAAATGGCCTAACTGTCCCTTTGAAATGACAGCAAATGACTAATAATCAGTGATTACCAAATATAATATACAATATATACAAGACCTGGTATAAGTTATAGGCTGAGTAATAAATTATGAATTTTTTGTAGTTACTGGTATTTAATAATTTGTGTTTGTATATTTGTAGATGTGTTATTTATTAGGTATTTTAATAAATGAAATCATTAATTGGGTATTAAAACATTTAATACGAGAAATTCGCCCTATTAGAGGTAAGATAAGTGTTGTTTTTTTATATGTTTATAGAAATACCAGTATTTCAGTGAGATTCTCTGATGGATAATAAACCACTGATCTGAACTAGTCTCACAGTGAACTAGTGCAGACACAAGAACAATACAACTTGTTAAGCTTTGGTACAAACATAGGCTAAAATAGATCAGTTCTTAATATTTAGAGGATTCTGATCCTCCGATAGCATCAAACTAGCATTAAAGAGATTGTAAAAAGGTTTTTTAAATTTTGTATGTGTATCAGGGACACTGAGAGCATCAATTTGCACCATTCGAATTATCAATCAGACGTCTGTGGTTTTAGCAATTCCAAGAATACTAGGTGATTTATGATGTCACCCAAGCCAATTTTGCCCTCATCAAACTCTTAGTTTTAGTAGAATTGCTAGAACCATAGAAATCTGATTGAAAATTAGAATGGTGTAAATTAATGCTATCAATGTCCCTGATATACATAACAAGTTTAGAAAACCTCTTTACAATCGCTTTAGGGACTGGTCACTGTAATTTCAAGTAATCATTAATAAAGATTATTTGAACTTTCTTTTCGTTGTTTTGATTTCAGGTTTCGTTTTGCAGTTCAGATTGTTTAGTACCTGGTTCATTTATTAATCATGAGATTTTTATATAATTTCAGATAGAGCTGTATTATTCTCTGAGTTTGGGATGCCGTCAAGTCATTCTCAATTCATGTGGTTTTTCTCCATTTATTTAACATTTTTCCTCTTTGTCCGGTGAGTTGATCTAAGTTTATTTTAGTCTCATTGATTTCTAGGATATTTCATTCCATTTTACCTGCTTGACAGTCCTGTATCATACAATTCTCATGGTCGTGCCATTTTCTTAATGATATTTCACATTTGTCATTATAATATAATATAAAACAGTCGTCACGGTTTCTAAAAAAAAATGTGTTCCTATTGTGTGACTTTACATCACACGATACGCAAGGGAATTTCCAGTCAAACATAATGGACTCAATGAGTTGGCAGGAACCACAGACGTTTGATTGAAAATTGGAATGATGTAAAATGGTTACATCAGTGTTCCTAATACACATAAAGAATTAAGAAAACCGCTTTACCTTCTCTTATGCTACATTTTTTGACCAAACATATATAAGGATTGATAAATCGCTCGAATAATTTTATTTTATTTTAAATTATTATATTATACGATATCTTTAATCATATATCAAGTAAAGAAAGTTCAGCCACGGAATATATTACTCAGTGTTATATCTGCTGAAAAGATTACCTGTGTAAGATAATCTCAAACAGTTTTATGGCTTGTCAAATGGAAACATGGTATTTTAATTAATTATTTTGTAAATATTTATTTCAGTGTATATAAAAATTGTAATTGGTATGATGACTTGTGGAAGTATGTTATAAGTTTATCAGGGTTTTTATCTGCTATATTAGTTTCATACAGTAGGTAGGTAGACATCACTATAATTCATTTATAAAACTATGCCCTGTAATTTATAGAAAAATTGCCAAGGACAATCCAAGGCAGTAAGTGGTATCTGTTTTTACTGAAACGTAAAAACCCTTTAGCCCAAGTGAATACAAAATCTTCCAAGTGTCACAGGGACAACTTGTGTGTACGCCATAGAACAATATACAAACAATCAAGACTGAGGAATTTAATTAGGAATATTTGTAACAAGTTCAAGGTGCAAAATAATATCTATATCAATATAATCGTATTGTATCTTGACATGATGGGGCAATACCCAGCACTAATATCAAAATAGAAAATAAAAGTTATGTATTGATTTATTTATAGGGTTTATTTAGGATATCATACAGTATCCCAAATTACGTGGGGTGGCATTATTGGCCTGACCCTAGGAACAGTCTGGTTTCTAGTTGTACAGTTTTTATTAACTCCTTTATTTCCATTTATAGCATCCAGGTTAGTGCCTCATTTTCACAAACTTTTGTCTCCATTAACTTGTTCACTAACCTCAAGAATGTGGGTTAAAATCCTGGCAAAGGTCAGGGTTTCAGTTTTGGCTAATCAAGTCAATTTTTGAGTCACATTTCTTAAAAATTTGGTAGCAATTGAAATGTTAGAGTTGTAGACTGTTACAAAATAATACAATATGATTTGCAGATTGTCCTGGTCAATTTTATTTTTGGCTAATCTATTAAAATATTTGTTTGCAAAAAGGGTCATTTTGAATTGCAAACTGCGATTTGCTTAAATTGAAGCCTGGCATATGTCGAGGTTTACTTTTGGAATTGTTCTTCCTGTCAGTGATTCAGACCTAAAAAAAAACATGAAAAAAACATCTAGTCGCTCAATGCTTAGAATTGACATTAAACTGAGGTTCTGCAGGTGGACATCTTAACACAATTATAGGCCAATGTTGTGATCTTACCAGAATTTCCCTTTCTGCACACTGCATGGTATCACTGTCTTCATTAGCCACGTCGGGTGCAGAAAAGTAGGAAGTAAAACTCTATTTCTTTTATTTCAGTCCTATTGGAGAATTTTTTATGGTGCGAGATTCCACTTTGATACCCCATGTTTTATGGTTTGAATATACGTCTTCTCGTAGTGAAGCCAGGTAGACTGATACTTCTATATTGTACACATTCTTCTCCCCTTCATCACATCTGAGGAGCTTGTACTGCCAGATTATTTGGACTACATTTTGTTATAGTCAAATCAAATCATGATCATGTGCTTATCTTGTAATTTAGCTTTTGCTTAAATTGTCTCACTTGAACCTCACAATATTGAAATAGTATGCTGATACTTCTGTATTTTATAAGCTGGGTTTTCTATGATAGATCTTCCAGGTGTAACCTATAAGACAAGCTGACTGAGCTCGATTTCGCTCACCTGCTAAGATTTTCTAAAGAGGTTTAAATTCACATCACTTTCAGACTAATCAGATGATTCAGTGGGTTGGTTTAAAAATCACAGAGTCATATCTTATACAGTGATAAATAACACCCCTAATATTACAAATAATCACTTCCAATCATATATATATAGAGTTTTATATTGATAGAAGGTATGCATGTTTGGAACAGTTCATTACAAAGTTAAAGGGTGTCTGAATACATGACTTGTACACCCGTGAGCTCATTCCAGCTCATGAAAACTTTATTCCTAGATTTTGTCTTTTTAATTCCAGGAGCAGACAAAGAAAAGTTACTTCAAGAAAATCTCAATAAAAAAACAGACAGTGTAAATTGTTAGAGAATGTGTTCATTGGTGTTAGTTATTATAGTATGATGTGGTACTCAATTATTCCAGTGGGCAATTTGTTTTGGGAATGGGCAAGGAATTCAGGAATTCACAAGTTAAGAAGTAGGATGTGGTATAAGTAGCCTACTACTATTCAAATAGAAATAAAAAGTTTCAGTGCAAACTTCAATTCCAGTACTTATTGAATTAGATTATGTTTTAGGACAAATAGGTGATGGAACAGGGTTATCAGGTGAAAAAAAAGGATTGGCATTCTAATTAATTGGGATAAGACAGAACTCAAAGAATTCCAAACAATTGGCGACTTTTGGTATTTGGGACGTAATTAACTTGGTCCAAGAAGAAGACAATGGATTAGTTTAATCTGCAAAAATAGTGACAGTCAACTTGAGACAGAATTAATTTTCAAAATGAGATATATCAAGAATTATAAAGATTATGTGTGAAGTGTTTTTGTGTAGAACTTTGTATGGTTATCAGTTAGACGTAATTTACAGCAGAATGTATAAGATATAGATTCTTACTAATTATATTAATAGATCTTTGTTTTCATTTCACAAATCTTAGCCAGTTTGGGACAAAAATACTTACATCTCAGACTGCCTACAATTTGCCTCTTTTCAATCATTGGAAAAATTTATTGTATTTTTTCTAGCATAGTAAAAAATATCAATTGAAGAGTTTGTGTTAGGCTGAAAATTAAATTTAAAATCCTCATTTGATGAACTTACTTGGATTAGATGTGAGTAACAGAACAAGTTTTATTACTCATACAACTTTACTATGAGAACATTATATCAAGGTAACATCTAGGATAGAGATCATATTAATAAGAGAATATAATTTTGAAATCCAAGAGAATACTGGCTACATATTCTAGAAAAATCTTCCGCTAGGGTTCAATTTAGATTGGCAATTTATCATACTAAATATAACTTGATTAGCCAAATTAAAACTTGGTATGATTCGTGTTCAAGTCAAATTCTGGGGAAGACCAACAACCCTTGTATTAAGCACCAGATAAATGTTTATGGCTTCATTCTGGGCTTTTATTGATATATTTTGGTGATCAACAAAAACTGATCATTGGTTACAGTTCACAGAAAATAATTGTGCTGGAGTTGTTGGGAAATCTGAACAGGGCATTTGATTAACACCATTCAGCATATCGGACCATTTTTTATCATGTATTCCATATAGACAAGTTTTTTAAATGTCAAAATTTATCAAGGGAATAAAATAAAGATTTGTAAAATATTACCAGTGTAGTTGATATAGGAATGAACCCAGGTCAGCAAGCAAGTGTCCAGGTAAAGGAGGTCAAGGGCAATAAATCAAAGCTTTAATCAAACTGGAAGTTTACTCAGATCTTATTGAAATCTCTAGTCCTCATCAGTAGTCCCTCTGCCATCCTACCAATTAAAACACATTTCATGTCTTGGATAGTTACTGACAAAATTTAAAAAAATTATATTCCTGTTTCTCAAGCTTCATTAAAATATGATACCAGTAGTCTCTGCAGTGTCCACATGCTGATTTTGACATTGTGGAGGGCAATAACTAAAAAATCAGTATTCAAATGTACACCCAGTTTGATCAAATCATATCAGAAATGTTTCATGACAAAGCTTTGTACTTCAGGCAAAATTTAAATCATTTCAACAAAGAAAAATACTTGACTAGAGCTTCACGACTTTTATTCCCCTGAGCTCTGTGATCTACAATTAGTGAACACAAAATTACAATTTTGAAAACTTTATTGATATCTATAAGATACAATCATAGAAAATACAGAAAATAAGCATTCCTATATCCAATACAAGTTATTTTAAACAGCACTATTATTCCTGGGTTTGATTGCTGCCCAAAACCCTAATCATTATCTCCAAACAAATTGACATACATCTTCAATATCAAGTTATTATGGACCTCATCTTATATCTTGACTGCAACAGCCACCTTTTTTTGTATCACTTAATGCAGTGATTTGATTGGATAGTAAACCAGTGAATACAGCTAATCAGAGCCTTGGACAGAAAGACTGTAAAGATTATGGCTGATTGTTCCTAGACTTTCTGTCGAAGCTTCTGATTGACTCAGATAAAATCGGTTATCCTTTTCCATGCAGCTATCAAATTTTTACAAACTCTTTTTATATGTAACATTCTGTTAATACAACAAAATCATTGAACATAGCTTTAGTCCACATAGAGGTTGTAATGGATTGTACCAACTTTCACAGCAGCTGCCAAAAATATCAAAGACACAAAAATCTTAAAATATATATAATTATTTACAGGTATGCCCTTAACCCTTTGAACGCTGATTTGTCCTATATCTATAACTTTATTGTATGTTTTGTAATGCCACTTTTTGATAATGACCCAACAGGGTTTTTATAAATAGAAAATTAAATTAGGCCATATAATACCGAGGAGCATCAACGTGAGATACTTGGTACTCACCAATCTTCTCGTGCTGATAGACCTATCTTCCATCCTTCCCCTTATAGACCTGTCTTCCATCCTTCCCCTTATAGACAATACAACTGATAGACCTGTCTTCCATCCTTCCCCTTATAGACCTGTCTTCCATCCTTCCCCTTATAGACAATACAACTGATAGACCTGTCTTCCATCCTTCCCCTTATAGACCTGTCTTCCATCCTTCCCCTTATAGACCTGTCTTCCATCCTTCCCCTTATAGACCTGTCTTCCATCCTTCCCCTTATAGACAATACAACTGATAGACCTATCTTCCATCCTTCCCCTTATAGACCTGTCTTCCATCCTTCCCCTTATAGACAATACAACCAATAGACCTATCTTCCATCCTTCCCCTTATAGACCTGTCTTCCATCCTTCCCCTTATAGACAATACAACTGATAGACCTGTCTTCCATCCTTCCCCTTATAGACCTGTCTTCCATCCTTCCCCTTATAGACCTGTCTTCCATCCTTCCCCTTATAGACAATAAAACCAAAATCTTAACACAAATAATCATAATAAAATTTGATTGGTTCAATTCTGCCGATGCTCTTATATTATAATAATTTTTGAATAAGACAGCTATATAACACCCTGATTTTGAGACCTTAGTAAGATTTAATCAGAGAAGAATATTATTGATATCTATATAATTATTTGCTGATAGGCCAATAGATATATATTATTATAAATTTTGACTTAGAATAAATCTACATTACCCTGATTTTGTGAAAATTAATTGTACCTGATTTCGAAAATATTATATGTACTTATTATTAGGAAATAGTGAACACCATGTTGTTAATTTCACTAATTCTTTAAGGTGCTTCGGAACCTGGCAAATGTTTGTCTTCAAATATTGTAAAACCTGTTTTAGTTGCAACTAATGGTCACCTTGGATACAAGGCCCCACAATATGCACCACATAATATACATAAACAACAAAATTCTGTGAAGATTAATGCATTGATATCCTTTATATTTTATTTACAAAGAAAATTTTGGGTTATTTTCCCATCATTTTAAAATATTTCATAAATTTAGAAAAATTTCAAATAAATTTAGTCAATCCATTTTAAAAATTGTCACCATGTCCAATCTCATTGCCAGTAATAGACTCCAAAACTCACCAAATTGTTATGCAAATAATTAATCTTAAACCTGAATCAATTTGTCTGATTTACTTTAGTAGATCAATTGATCATAAAAATATAATAAATAACAAATAAAAATCATTTTTGGTGGAAACCAAGAGATCATTTTACAATAAATATTTATCATAATTCATTCAAATTGTGCTTAATCATCAACTAATCACAGCAAAATATACTGTTTCTTTATTATTTTATGCTATAGGAATGGAATATTTTGGCTGGTTTGGTTGTAAAAATGTGATTTCCAATTCATAAACCTCAACCAAGGTTTTTAACCAATTTTATTGTTTTCAATTTTCAACTAATCACACCAAAATGAACTGGTCAGTATCTCATTTAGTCAGTTGTTATGGAATATTTTGGCTGGTTTGGTTGTAAAATGTGATCAATCTGATGTTTTAATCATAACTGATCAAGTTCATTTTGGGTTATTTACCAATTGTGATAAATCAGCTATTCACAGCAAAATGTACTGTTCGTTTAGTCTTTTAATCCTTAACAATTACTCTTTTGGCTGGATTGGTTGAATAAATATACAAAAAGAAGTATTCAATTAAAGGTTTCATTCTGTTTTGATTTTGATTTGATATAATAGTCATCTATCCTAGAAGATACTGAATTTATGCTACCTGATACTGAATTTCCGTTTTGAAAAGAGATAAAGGAAAGAAAACCAAAACTTTATCAGCTTTAATACCTGAATCCCTTCATGTATAGTTCAATCTCTATTTTATATCAGCTCTCCTGATGAAGGCTTTTAATCTATAACATGTCAACTTGTGAGATAAGCTAAAACACTTCCAGTTAAGTGAATGACTTGGTGTCCTGATGAGGATTTTTTATCCAAAACACATGTTAACATGTGAGATCAGCTCAACCACATGAAGTTAAGTTCGACAGGTAACCTCCATTTCCAAACCAGCTGACTGTTCTGTTCTATTTGATTTTACATGTATATACTAATTATGTGTCTGCAACATGAAATGATCTTTTAATATATAGATGGCTAAATACCTTTAATTAATGTCCTTAATTAATGTCCTTTTAATTAATGTCCTTAATTAATGTCCTTAATTAATGTCCTTTTAATTAATGTCCTTAATTAATGTCCTTTTAATTAATGTCCTTAATTAATGTCCTTAATTAATGCCGTCATAGATTAATATATTATTATTCTTACCCTGTTAGATGTTTTTATAATTTTTCAAATTTCTTTCTATTAAGTCTTTTAGAATATAACAAGAATGTTCTTTTTATTAAAAATAATTTTAAATTCCAACCATTCTCAATTCAATCATTATAAAACAACAAATTCAATCAAAATATTTGATTTCCAACGAATGGAACATCCTCTTAGAATTCATTATTCTTAACAATATAAATCAATCAAAAGTCAGGGAAAATATATTCAAAATTTCAAACTTTTAAAAGTTATGAAAACTGAAAAATTATGGAACATTTATACAAAATCTTCTTAAATCAAAATAATGTTGAAAATTAATTTTCAGTTGGAGTATTTCATTGTCATCTTGTGACATAAAATATTTATAATATCACCCCTTTTTAATATAAATAGGGGAGACCAATAATTGATACTAGTATAGTCAGTCAATGATTCATACACACGCATTGGAACAGTCTACTTTTTATGAGGTAAAACAAGTAGTCTCTCAAATAGTAATAGCATTACTGAGTGGCTGACACCTTGAGTGTTTTGGATGGCAATATAAACTGAGCTCCATATGCCTTTAAGTTGCAAATTTGAAATAACGTTGTGTAATTAGTTTAATGGGCTATCACTTAAATTTCTGCAATATTTCCCCCATTGCATATATTTGTTATTCATCTTCCATAGCCAATATAGGATATACATCCCCAATTCTTTATTTAGGTGGCTTCTTCATGTTATCAGTATAACTAGAAGTATGATAAGGTTAGCTAAGTTTTCCCCATATTTCAGACTTGGCCTGTATCAAGAGCAGTAACCTGTTCATCCAAAAATTCTTAAAGAGATTAAAGGTTTTCTAAATTTTTACTTTGTATCAGGGACAATGATAGCATCAATTTACACCATGTCAATTTTCTATCAGACGTCAGTGGTTCCTGCAATTCCACTAAAACAAAGAATTTTATGACGTCATTTATGAAAGGTCTTATGTGATAAAGTATTTTTTGCGATTAGCAATGTCATTAAACATGTGGTTTAAATGGAATTACAGGAACCATTTAGAAAACCTCCTAACAATCCCTTTAATAATCATGTGTATAGAATTCATTGACCACCTATATACCAAATACAAAATAATATAACATCAAAAATATATTGACAATATTTTAAATAATAAAATATCTTATTTTTCTAGAAATTCATTTTGAGCTATTTTTTAATGTTTTGCAAAAAATATTTTTCAATTTCCGAAGTCAGTATATAGCTATATATGCCTAGTGAAGGTACCTAATTACATTGTAAAACCAAAATAACTTAGGATAGTCTACACATAGCCAACCTCTTTCTATTGAAAATATTCAAAAATACAAAATAATACAAAAACTAAACATAAATGCAGGAAAAAAACAAAAGAAATCAATGAAAAGCTAACATGAATTATGAAAAATGACCAGAATAAATCAGAGAAGATAATGAGGTCATTCCAGGTCAACTTTAAAACTTTATCTTGAATAGTCTACCCTATTTTTATATTAGTTTAGTCTGTATAGTTTCTATTATTATTTATTCTACCTTGACATAAAGTGGACATCTTTCTGTTATGATTGAAATAGATCACAGATGACCACAAATATTTGATCTCAACTATACTTGTATCAGACTTCACGTTACTTTACATTCATCAGTTCACACTTTTATATACTGTTGACCCTAACCTTAAACACACTGTGAGCCATCTTAAACATTTTCCAACTTTCACATCAAATCAAAAGAGCTAGAAGCAGTAGATAATTTCCACAAACTTGAGTTATGGTCATTATTTGTATATCACCTTTTTCAAAATTTCATGTTAGCTTTTAAACAAAATCCACTCCAGCAATCAGTAAATAAAAACTCACACAAAATAGTTTGCAATGTCTATTCTAAGGAATAAATACTTGCTATTTATGTGAATATCTATTGCAGGAAATAAGTGAGTGAGTGGGAGAGGGAGAGTGGAGGTATCACTTTGCATTCTCCCTGGGTAAAGATATCTTTCTGAGGAGGGAGGATAAAGGAGGAGGGGGGCAAACAACTAATGTAATGGCCCATCCATTACCAAAGCACTATTATTATTAGAATTGTCAAGGCTGTCACAACTACTAGACAAACCCCCGTTTATTCCGCGAGTTTTGTAGAATGGGGTATAAAATGTCCATTCATTTGCATCATCTAGATATTCCATGGTATCGAGAAATTTCTTCCCGTTAAAACCTCCGACAGCGAATAATCTACCGTCAAGAACTGCCGAGCCTATATTAGATCGTGGTGAGACCAATACAGGACCAAATATCCACTTCTGATTCTCCACATCAAAGATTTCTGTTGATTTTAACGAATGGGTTCCATCATTTCCACCAATTACATATAATTTACCTGAAAAATATACAAACTTTCCCCTAGAGCTCAACTAATCTTATGACATAGAAATATGCCTTGAGAATGGTCTTTCAGATTTTCAGTATCTACAGAAACCTAGTTCTTATTTTGAATACCAAAATTGGATTGTAAATAAGTTATAATTGGTTTTTATATTAACATGCATTATGAACTTATGAAATGAATGGAGTTTTACATCCTACTTTTCTGCACCATGTGGGCTAATGAAGACGGGCAACACCATGCAGGGTACAATGAGTGAAATTTTGCCAGGACAGCGACATAAGACTGCTCTTTTTCTTTATGAAACTCTAATATAATTTTAATATAAGTTAATATAAACAATAAGTAGTATTGAATAAATAAGAGAGGAAAGAAACAACAAGGAATTTTACAAGGATATCCAATTTGGTTTACAAGGATCCTTTCTACCCCTAGATCTTTGGCCATACTTCTTGCACCTCGATCTTTCCCAGATTATCTGTACCCATGAATATAACTGACTTTATCTTGTACGAAATCGATTCTTACCTTGAAAACACTCGACTCCAGCCCCACGGCGACAGACATTCAGAGATTCTAAATATCTCCATTCATTTATAGCAGGATCATAAACTTCTACTGAATTTAAACAATTCCATCCATCAGTTCCCCCCATCACATACAGTTTACCATTATACGCTCTTACAGACGCTTGATAGCGGGCTGAAAATAGAAAATTAATTGATGCTTACAATCAGGATATCTTTTAGTTTAGCCAGTCAACGTGCTACGTACAGAGAGAGAGTGAGAGATCAACAATGTAATTGGCTACAGGATGCTTATCTTAATGACGTCAAGCTGTTACAAACTTCGTATTGCATTTTTCAGTATTCTTTTGTCAAGGAAAGCAGGCATTTGATTGGATTGTACGCCAGAGAATACAGCCAATCAGAGCCAACAATTTCATGTGTTGTCTTTCTGTTCAATCCAATCAAATTGCTGCATTCACAAACTTTCATAATACGAGAAGAGTGAATATTGAAGTCAAGGAATAAGATGAAGACATTATACCTTGACCTTGACAATGACAATAAGCAATGCATACCTGTATTGAGTGAAGCTATAAAAGACCAAGAATCAGTTTTTGCATCATAAACTTCACATTCAGCTACACTGTTCTGTCCCATACAACCACCAATACAGAATAACTGATCACCCAGAACAGCAACTCCTAAAATAATATCATTACCAATACAGAAAGTTCTCGACTAGGACTCTTCAATCTTACAGGGCATGCTCTCTTCCATTTTCTACTAGGACACAGGACAACAATTACAGCACATTGTAGAAAGTTTACAAATATAGAACCCAAATCAGAAATTATTAACCATTTGGGGCAGAGCAATTGGTAAAAATAGAACCAAAAATCTCAAAATATTTAGAAAATCTCATCTGAATTTACAAACATTGACTTATAAATGTACAGTATAAGTCATTTCAAATATCACTCTCCAAAACCAAACTTCAATTTACTCCATTTTCTTGAAATTAAGATAATTATTGAGTAAAGATTTGAGAAACGGTTTCCAAGTCAACAGCATGATATTGATCATTCTTACCCGGTGAAGATCTGTGTTTAATCATGGGAGCCACAAACGACCAGACGTCTTTTTCTACATCGTAAACTTCTACGGTTCGTAATTCATGGTAACCATCTGATCCTCCGCAGGCGAAGATTGTATCTCCTACTCGAGCTGCCGAGAATCTTCCTCTCGTTGTTTTCATGTCAGCTAACATCGTCCACGTATTACTTTCTAGATTAAAACATTCTGTTGATTTTAAACATTCACCTCTATCATATCCACCTATAAGACAAATACAGACAACAATTATTTACTGGCTTGGTTACTGTATTCATTAGCACTAGAAAATCAGAAAGTTTCCCATTGGTTTGATGGAAGGACTGAATACTGACTGAATGGGTTCAAATGATTTTTTTTTTCCATTCAAATTTATGCTTAATTTCTCAAAGCAGCTGGTTTGAAAATTGTTGCTGAAGAGAATAGCCTACTCTAACATGTACATATATCCTAAATATCTAGTATCTGTGCTACTAAATGTGGTTCTGTACTTTGTTATTAAAGAAGTGTGTTATACCATAATATTTTCTCTTCTGTCTTCTGTTACAGATTACAAACGGTAAAAACCTTTACAATTTTATAATAGTTAGTGTTACAAGCATATATAAAAATAGTTTATACATGGATAATAAATAAACCAAGTACTAGCCCAAACTAAACGTAACCGTAATCCGTAACAAAATATTGACGAAATATTGGTAGCAATTGATAAAATTAATACTAACCACAGGCGATAAGTTTTCCATTAACAGATCTCAATCCAAATCCACAGCGAGGTGTTGACATGGTATTTAATGGTATCAACGAACGACTACGATCATATTGAGGGTCAGTACTAGTAGAATTAGTCGGTGATTCTGATAGGTCAGATACACTAGTAGACGGGGATTGTTGAGCTACACGATAGCGTAATGAAATGGTTACTAGGCAACTGTTTAATATTGCTATACCCATATATGTATTATCTGAAAAATAGAAGATATAAACCATTGAATATATGATAGTATAACACACTTCTTTAATATCAAAGTACATAATATTTCAACACAATTTACACGTGTTCTCATCAGATGAAATGAAGAAGAGATAAACATGAGAATATTTATGACTTCCCCTTTTGCTATATAGACTCGTCTTAAGTTGTAACATTTGTTATATGATATTTTAAGACTGGTTAAAAATCCACCAACCTGCAGTTTGTTTGTAGGCTATAATCTTCCATTCTCTCTCTATATTTTCATCTTTAATCAGAGAGAATTTTTGAAAGGGTAAACTACTGTTACTGATAATCTTGTTATTGTTGTTATTATTTTCTGTTAAATTACGCTCTCCATTCTAAAATAGACAGAATCAAAAACGAAGTTCAATAACAGCATCATATCTATTTGTTATATATCATCAAATTTCAATTCATCTCTCTTATATATTATCATAATTGTTGTAAACTGAAACTTAATTTTTGTATAAATGTAAATGTGAACTCAATGTAAATCAATTGAAAATCAATAGAATATTACAATAATGGGAAAGATAATGTTGATTGATTGAATATATACATACTAAATATTGACCCATGAAATGAAATGGAGTTTTACGTCCTACTTTGATATGTTAACATGTTGGAAGAAGCACAGCCGAACCTACCTGTTTACGCTTCAGTTTACGATAATCCTGTATCCCATCATCCTCTTTCAGCTCCTCGTCTTCGAATTCCTGACAGTCTTGAAGAGTATTGTCTCGAGTTAGGTATAACAGATTCATCTGAAATTATCACAATCATTATTTCAAATTTCATTAGGCAAATATTAAGACAGCAATACCAAATTGTAACAGGATAATATCAAATATCAATTATTAAGAGGTCAATGTCAAATTTTAAGAGGTCGATATCAAATATGAAGAGGTCGATATCAAATATGAAGAGGTCGATATCAAATATGAAGAGGTCGATATCAAATATCCAGAGGTCGATATCAATCATCCAGAGGTCGATATCAATCATCCAGAGGTCGATATCAATCATCCAGAGGTCGATATCAATCATCCAGAGGTCGATATCAATCATCCAGAGGTCGATATCAATCATCCAGAGGTCGATATCAATCATCCAGAGGTCGATATCAATCATCCAGAGGTCGATATCAATCATCCAGAGGTCGATATCAATCATCAAGAGGTCGATATCAATCATCCAGAGGTCAATTTCAAATATTAACAGATCGATATCAAATATCAAGAGGTCAATATCAAATATCAAGAGGTCAATATCAAATATTAAGAGGACGATTTCAAGTATTAAGAGGACGATATCAATTATTACGAGGTCGATATCAATTATTAAGAGGTCAATATCAATTATTAAGAGGTCGATTAAGAGGTCGATATCAATTATTAAGAGGTCGATATCAATTATTACGAGGTCGATATCAATTATTACGAGGTCGATATCAATTATTAAGAGGTCGATATCAAATATTACGAGGACGATATCAAATATTAAGAGGACAATTTCAAATATTAAGAGGACGATTTCAAATATTAAGAGGACGATTTCAAATATTAAGAGGTCGATATCAATTATTAAAAGGTCGATATCAATTATTACGAGGTCGATATCAATTATTACGAGGTCGATATCAATTATTACGAGGACGATATCAATTATTACGAGGTCGATATCAATTATTACGAGGACGATATCAAATATTACGAGGACGATTTCAAATATTACGAGGTCGATATCAATTATTACAAGGTCGATATCAATTATTACGAGGTCGATATCAATTATTACGAGGACAATTTCAAATATTACGAGGACGATTTCAAATATTACGAGGTCGATTTCA